AGTGACCATGGGCTTCCAAAAATGACAAAACATACCATAAAACATTCAAATGTGACTTTATAGACATAATAATCTCATCTGCTTCAAATCTCATTCTTGTTCGTGTCAAGCCTTTTAGATTGGCAGTGGCACAAGTTTTATAGGTCCATAAAAATGCAGTTGGAAAGCAAATGTGCAGGTGTCTAATGTACATATTGCAGAAGAGGAATCGCTCACCGGTCGGCACACTATGACCCTGCAGTCATATGCAATACCTCATTCAATCAAACCATCTATTGATCCTTCTGTGAACAGATCTCTCTGAGCACCTCTACTTCCTGCTCACTCAAGTGTTGTGGAGGGCACACATGTTGTTCCAAACCTCTATGCTTTTCTTTCATCTGCGGAATGTGAAAGAAGAATGTTTTGAAGAATGTTGGTAACCTAACAGTTTCAGATCCCATTGACTTATTATTACTGTAATATAAAAGTGAATAGTGACCATGGGCTTCCAAAAATGACAAAACATACCATAAAACATTCAAATGTGACTTTATAGACATAATAATCTCATCTGCTTCAAATCTCATTCTTGTTCGCAAACAGTACAGTATATTCTAATAATGTGTCATTGGTACATTAATAATAATGTGACAAATTTGAATATGCATATATGAAATTTGTGAGCTACGTAAATTTGAATGTGGTCTTTTTCTCACACAAAGCTATCGTATACTAATGTAGCGTCACATTTACTCTTTTTATTGCTGACACTGGATCGTGCATCTCTGCACAGGGACACTCAGGTTTCTGCAGAGCAGAGCATGAGCTGAATTTAAACATTATGTAGTTGATTTCCGGAAAAACCAACACTTCATTTAGTCAAAATATTGACATTTCCCCTGGCATTGATGTTTGTCTTTGTCAACATAATGAAATCTAAGGGATCACTTACAAGAGTGGCTCCATTCCGGATACTGTGTTTACTGTGGTTTGGCACAACAGACTGTTTGATTGTCCATTGATTTGTTGGATTTTCTGCACAGAATGTTATTTATAATTGTTAAATCATTTGGATCTAAATATTTTCTTGATGAATTTGATCAAGATACAGTGTTGACATTTTTCAATATTTCAGTTTGTTTTCAATGCAAATGCTTATTTATTAATGAAAAAAAGCTTATAAATGTTGCTTCTCCTCATTTATTTGTAAAGAATGATGCCATATTTTTATATTAAACCACATACCTTCCTCAGTTGATCAGATCTGCATGGTAAGTGTGGTATTTTGCTATATATTGTGCTATGTTTCTTCATGTCTCAGAGTACTATAATAGTTCCCTTTCATTCGGTCACTCTCGACGTCACGTCGGATGACCGACGAAATTGGGATCTCGCTTAGAGAGACCAATCCACTTCGAGTGCAAACTAAACGAGCCAATGCACATTGGCATGCGATTATTGCATCCAGCTGCTGCTGATCACAGCGTGAGTATAAGTAGGCAGCAGATGCAGCGCATATTCAGCTTTTCGCTTCAGAGCCGAGCGGTTCTATCGTTCTCGCCTTACATGCTTCGGCATTATTGCAAGTGCACCAGGCTAAGGCACTGAGGGAC